TCTGTACTGCTTGTTGCACAAGAGGTTGTTTGATTAAAGTTAGCAATAACCTTCTTATTGATTATAGCTTCAAAAAGTTTGCTAATGACACTGAGGAGTCTGATGGGTCTATACAGAGATAGAGACTAGAACTCCCCAGCATTCTTGAAAACAGGGCATACACTTGATACCTTCCGCAGACTTCCTTCAAGCAGTGGTTAAATAGTTTTGCTAAGATTTGGTGAGTTTTTGGGAAGTCGATTTGGCCAAAAAATTTTCAACCCTCCTGCTTATATTAATTTTGTGAATACTAATCTGTATTATTTTAAAGGTTTATCATGAATGTATATTGTTATATACTGTACTTATGAACACTAATGGGTATGTCCCAATCCTCATAAATACATTGGATACTATTGTAAGTGGGGGTAATATGCTGTCTAAGTAGTCTCCTACTAGCAGTGGTTTACCTACTTCATGCTGCTGGTGAGTATTGTATTTTGTTGATGTTATAAAGATTACCATTTCATTTCCAAGCTCTGCTTTCGTTATTCCTCATTCAATAACTTTTTCTAGGTTACAACATATATGAAAGCAAGAAATTTTCTAATAAAAATAATAATTAGAATAAAATGAAATTAATCCTTAACATAAATGTAATAGAAAAGTAAACAGCAATATACCCACAAAAGTATTATTTTTGCTCCTTTATATAATTGAGTTGTTTTTGTACATACTGTAATCTCATAAATTGAACTTAATAAAATTGAATTACCTGATTTCATCAATATTTCTTCAGGTGATATATAAATATCCTTTTCTTTAAAAAAAACACTATGATTATAATTTGTCACAAAATCAATTAAATAAAATTAAATCCATCCTTTCAGCAGTATGTTTGGGTATGTGTTCAGATAGATATTTATGTATATATTAATATACATCACTGAATGCATTATTTTGACTTAAATTTTTCAAATAAGTTGATGGCAATTTTTTTCCTATAAATCAATATATTCTGTTTATACGGAAATAGACAATTTGAGTACAATCTCTGGAGTAGTAGAAATTTAGGTCAACAATAATTTTATAAGTGAATCAATATTTTGTATAAAATTACTACTGAATATTTTCCTTTCTCATCACTTCTTTTCTATTTGAAAACATCACTTTCTTATCTATAAAAAGTAAAATAAAAAAGTATTTTACTACATCAGGCAATCAGGCATTGATTTATAAGCTTTTACTTTGGCTGAGTGTGTGTTTTTTTTTGACATAATCATCATGACAAAATTTTAGTGTTCATAGTTGAGCCCTGTATCTCTATTTTGGGAGCAAAAGTTAATGCTCTATCATGCTGGCTTGTTTTCAGTTGGAGTGAGGCCCAGACCTGCTTCCTGTAAGTATTTTCAGATGTGGATAAGGGTATTTTGATTCAGTGCATTTGGACTTCAGTTGATTGGCATAAGAATTTTTTTTCCTGATATTTTTATATTAATATTATTTGTATATGCCTAGCAAAAAACCAAGGTGTTTTAAAATATAAAATCAGCTTTTACATTTTTCCATATTGTTAAATGGACATTTTGTTATATTTTTATATTTAGTTAACTAAAATATAAGTTAATAAAAATGGAAGTAAATATTTAACACATACTCGAAGACAGTATTATTTTGTAAAAAGTCATATACCTGATTATGTGAGACAGCATATATGTTTTTACCATCGTTACATACACTTGAGTCTTTAACTGCATGATAAACAAAACTATTGCTGGAAAATTGCTTTCTAGAAAGTTTTAGCATTTAAATTTGTCTAATTTTCAGTTCATTTCCTATAAAATCTAAATATATCCTGCACCTTTTAACAATATTTAAATATATATTTAAAAAATTCAGTTTAAGAAAATATTTGATTTTGATTCAATAATTTTCATAAACTCATGAATTGGTTTTTCATATTGTAGTTATAAATTTAATAAATTATCATGTTGTTTCAAGTAAAATTGCCAATTTATTTCAACAAAATAAATTGAAAAATAAAAGAATAGTATTTTTTCCTTGCCAATGCACTTTGACAAGTTGTTAATGCCTTCATTGAAGAATTTTTCATTTTAAGAACTGATAAATTCATTGAAGACTTCTTCATTTTGATTCTAATTCTAAGAAACTGGTCTAGTTGCCTGAAGATAAATCACACCGAACTGAGTACTGATTTGCATATAGATATTGCTTAGGCACTGAAGGGAATGATGATGAATCAAATAACTCTTGTTCTAGCAAATGCTCACTTACAGAAATGATTATGTCGATTCAATTGATATTTCAGCAACTCAAATGTTGCCATTTTGTCATTCTTCCTCAGTTATTATGCCAAATCAGTTTTTCGTTACAAATAATATTAAGGTGCAATAGTAGGTCAGTTGAACATAATGCCAGTCTTTGTATATTTGTTACTCATTTAAATGAAACCAATTTATTTTTCCTGACTATCATACTTAAATTATTTGTAATGGTTCAAATCCAGTTAAAATATACAGCAAATTCTCTGACTTAGATTTTTGTATTGTTTTTCATTGTAGACTTCAAATCATCATCATTGATAATTTTAGTTTATCTCTCTCTTTTGGTTTTCCATTTAAACATTTTTGAAACCAACATCTTATTGTTTATTCACAAACTGTATTGTCAATAAAAGCATAATTTTGAATCTTTACATACCAAACTTCAAACAAAATGTGTAAATTCATGTTAAACTAATAAAAATCCAGTAACTTCTCCTTGATTTATATGCAGGGTTCACTAGGTACTTAAGAACACACGTTTAGTAGACTATAATGAAAAGGTAACCTACTATATAATGTTTTGCAACATGTGCCAAATTTTAACATTCTCATTTCTCATTGAGTCTTATCAAGAGCATTAATATGCCAGTTTCCAATCTGAAACAAGAAATGAAAAGGCATTCTTTTCTTGAGGCAATAGCTACCAACAACAGAGATAGTGAGCTGCTTGAATGTGGTCAGGTGAACAGGAAGAATGTACAGTGGCCATATCAAGTTTATGTCATCTATGGTGGTTTAGTGGCTTGTGAGCAATGAGGTCCATGTCATGCCATTTCACTACTTCCTGGAGAGCCTCAGTTAATGGTACCTTCTACATTGAAGCGCTGGACATGGTGATCAAGCCCTGGATTGAAGGAGTAGCTTATATGTTCATGCACGGCCAGCAGTGGCTGGTAAAAGTTTTCATGATTATTTCAAAGAAACATGTGGTCTGCTGACTTTGATTTGAATTCCCTATACTATACTGTCTGGGGCATCATCAAGAGGGAGATTTATCAGGGACTCCACAATACCATGTACTCAATAAAGGCTACTATGTGGAGTAATGGATAGCAGCTCAGATTGAGGAATCGGAGAGCTGGGTTCAAATTCCAGTCCAATCAAGTCATTCACTTACAATCTAATAGAGAAAGGTATGAATCCTCTTCTTCTCCCCCTTCAGCTATGGGTAAATAGTAGGACAGACTGGGTTTTATAGCCTTCGATGGCAACTGGTCTACCGCAGAATGTAATGGCAACCTACTGCGGGGAAAAAATCTGCCTCGTCAGTCATGTATCGAAAGATATATGATCACCTAAGCATGTATCACACATGGTCCGTTACTGAATGACTGAATGTTCATGTGAGGGTTAACATTAATGAAAACCATTTGACGCAGGCATGCAATCACTTCTGAGGTCGTCCTCCTAAATGAGAGCAGTTTTATTAAATAACCTTTTTCTGTTTTTCTAAGTTGAACATGTATAAAAATTTGTTTGAGAATATACTGATTTTTTTTCTATTGAATATTTGTTTTTTTTTTATATTATACTTTGTTTGCATTTTCCTGACACACCATATATATATATATATATATATATATATATATATATATATATATATATAACTGAATGAAAATCAGTAATCATATGAATACAATATTACAATGGAAGTTGGAAGTCTTAAAATACCAATATATTGTTTTGTAATAGCATAAGATTTTTAAAAATAATATACATGTCTTATTTTAAACATTTTATGCTAAAATTCACAATATCAAAAAAAACTGCATCCTAATTTATTGCTAGATAATATCCAGAAATGGAATACAAGATAATTTGTGAAACACACATAGTTAAATTAAAATGCTGTCAGATAATCTGATGAGAATAACTGTTATGTAGATAAATACTTACTAATTTAGTTTTAAACAAAATGTAAAGGTGCTGAAAATAAACTTTATAATTGTCTTCAAACTTAGGTGCCACATGATTTATTTTTAAAACTTAATTTACTAAATGAAATTCCCATATGAAACAAATATATAATTATAACCTTCCTTTTTGTTGCAAAAATATTATAAATTATGAAAAGAAATTGTAAAAGATCATCATTTTATTTAATGAAAATGTTTGAATGCTCAAAACATCTCATTTTTAAAGTTTTATTGAAAAACTTATTCGGTTGCATTTCTTCCTGTGCCTCACAGAAATTAGAGATATATACATCTAATACTTACCCAAAACCTAAGGAGTCCAGTGAATAATGTTTCTGTGGAAAATGAATGCAATTTATGAAAATATTTACCTACACCTGGAAGACCTTGCTGACTGAATGTCTCCAAGTAAAAGAAATAACCAAATTATAATATATCAAAGTTCTAATACTCATTTGAATTTTAAAATTTTGATTGATTTAATGCCTATTTGTAAAGTGATATTAATACATGATGAAAGGTAAGTTCTGTGTGGACAGATACAACTAATTTGGTAAGTTTGGTACAGGAGGTAGCGGTCTTGGATATGAAGTGCGGCAACTGGTTACTGGTAGATTCCTAAGTTGTGAATGAGAGCCAGAAGCACCACAATCTATTGTTGCAGATTTTGAACTAGTCCATGGCATATCTTGCTCATTATTTGGTTTGTAGAAACATTTTGCAGAAATAGCCATATCACTTGGATAGCTGAATGTCTGTTCTAATGGCCTTGTATCTGCTTTATGGAATTGGTCAGTTTGGGACGATGGAGAATTACAATACTGGATTGTGAACAGATCTGAAATAAATAAAGTCAGACATCAGTAATGTTGTCATTATCCTTCAAGAAGCAAATATGTTTTTATTTCATTAGTTAATTGAAACAATTATTTAGTAACTGGAATTTCTCCATTAAAACCAAATAGATCAAATATTGAATTAGGAAAAACATTTTTTAGTGAATGCACTGATTATTTAACTGTTCTGGTGTGTTGGATACTCAGAGTAACCGAAATGATAATAAAACTGATAATAAAGAAGAGAAGGCTTAATTAAGATAAATATTTTTGTATCCAAGTTATGGAATATAAATTAATATTGTTCTTTACATTATCACTGCAGTTGTATTTTTGTGCTAAGTAGACTATTAATTATATTAACTAAGCAAGAATGAATTGTTGAGTGTACATAAGTCATTTATTTTAATTGCTTTTTGTATAGCCTAAAGTGCAACATCATTTTATTAATAAACATCTTGACAAAAAATGTTTTTCCTTTTCCTTTTTACATTATTTCAAATGTTATTAATATCCAAAAAGTTTAGGAATTTACCAAATAACTAAAATTTGTTTTTGAATTATATTATTTTTCTCTTAAAATGATAGACAAGATTTTGGCCTCAACTAAATGTAAGTTTCTGATCAATGTGATATAATTTTGACATTGAATTATTACATGAAAGATAGGAAACAGGTGGTGAGGTGTTTTTATTTCATTTTTAATGAGTTATCTACTAGCTCTTTGGATTATATTTACAAATAAAACAAAATCTATACAAACTAACAACAGGAGTTTGAGAAAAATTACCACAAAATCATTATCATTGTCACATAGCTATTGCCCTGTTGTTAAAAAATGATAAATGTTCTGTCTATAAATTTGAGAAGAGTTATTAGCATAGCTAACATTGTCCAGATGCTTAAATCTCTTTCATATAGCTGCTGTTAACACAATGTTTTGCCTGATCCATTTTCAACCCTTGTCAGGTGTACTTTCTGAGAACAAAATAAGTGTCCAGACAAAACCAAAATCATGGCAAAAATTGTTCATTAATATGCCAACCAGACTTGTCTATTTCTGCAACATCAGGTACCCAACTAATTTCAAATGAAACTTGTTGGAGTTCCCCAACATTAACTTTACTAAACAAAGAAAACAGTGTTGAAATCCATGCTAGCTCAACTTATATCAGTTTTTTGACCCAGAATGTATGCCACCTCCTTTAATTTCTGATGGGAGTGTGCGCTCTTCCCCCCTCAGACTAGATCTGTCATACCAGATTATCCCACCTCACATTTGGTTATAGCTTTTTTGTTTTCCTAGAATTGTAGTTTTCAGAGGACAGCTGTAGATACCTATATCCTTTACCACATATGCAAAGTATTTTATAAATGAAGTATTTAGGTAGACTTTTCTTTCTTAAGGGACCAATTTTTAATATAAAAATGATGTTAACAGATTCTTTGGATCTATTCCACCTTTCTGTAAAGGAAGATTTGCTGTATCTGTGTATCTATATAGTTAGTCATATTTAGAGCCATTTTGCTAATTTGATAGGAATAACCCAAGAGAGATAGTTATGTTGAAGAATGCTATTATTATTTCTTTATTCTTCTTGTTTGTTGAATAACTTGCACTCAGTACTGAAGACAGTGGAGCAGTGCTTTTTTTCACACAGAAGGTAGAATTAGCCTCAAAGCTCATATATAATACTGTATACATATTTTTTGTATACGCTTATGCTATGCCCTTCTCCTTTATGAATTATCACAATATCCCCTCATTGTATTCCTTTTCCATTGGAAACTGCATGGAAGGTTGAAAGAGTTGACATGGTCCAGTAGGACTTGTATGACTTAGTAAGGCCATAGGATAAAGGTATAATCTGCATACCTAATCCAGTTTGATGGCCTCAATAGAGTGTGGAATTCTGTGTGAGATTTTCAAAAATCTCCATATAAATATATATAACTAAGCCTTTTTTGGCAATAAATGTTAAACCCAAAGAGGAAATATATTGTGTTTACATTAAATCTTAACATTTCCATAAGATTCACATTTGAGATTCTAGTACAAGTCCTCAGACTTGTATCATTTTCAGGCTTCTTATGGAGTATATATATATATATATATATATATATATATATATATATGGTTTTCTCTGTGGGTAATGTATTTAAGAGTTTGGACCATGCTGGATTGTATGTAGATTGAATGTTGTTAGGAAGACTGAAAATAAATGTTGACTCAGTTTTTACATCCTTTTTTATTTCTTGTTCACTTTTATATACCTGCATGTACTTGTAGACACCTAAAATAGTGGCTAGCTTACAAAACTGCCAGCATTAAGAAGTAGAAACATTTATAAGACCTGCTTGTTTTTGGAATGAATAAAATAATTTTCTGAGTAACTGCTTCTAATGGAACAGATATACTGGTTGTAACTCAATGTTCTGATAATATTCAGTTATAAAATTCCATCTATTTTTAAGAAAGTAAAATGCATTTCTGAAGGTGTACCTGGTATTTCACCACCCTGTCCTGTATCACTCTGATTCCAAATATGTCCATTGTCGGAATAAGAAGACTTGGTAGGTTTCCAGGTGTTGTTGTCAGGGGATGTGCATTTTTCATGTTTTTCACCATCAGAGTTCTGTGTGACTTCATGAATGTACATCTGTTAACATTGCAAAAGTTCAATTGTAATTTTATTCTGTTTCATCTTAAAATAATATAAAGTATATTCTTTGAAATATAGTTATCTAAAATAGGTTATAAAATGTAAAATGTTTTGATCTGAGAGAAACTTCCTTTTGATTCAATATCTCTCAAAATCATGACTTAAAGAACCAACTAATTACAGTGAGTAAAACATGTTTTGGTAATTTCTTTAAGTTTTTTTATTAGTTTATGTTTGCAATACAGGGTTTTCAAATTTTAATTTAAGAAATGATGTTCAGTCGACATAGTATGCTGTTTTGATATTTATTTTGGCTAACTTCTTGCATTCATTTTTTTTTATTTGGAGTCAGTATAGCTCTTGTATATTTACTTCCTATTCACATGGATTTATATATATATATATATATATATATATATATTTCTAAAAGGAGAAAAATATTTTTGGGGTATTAAATAATCCTTTGTGGTTGACATGCTATAAAACAAACCAGACCAAACCAATCTTGTATATTAATATTATTACATTTTCTTTTAACAAATCAAATACATCATTTATTAAAAAATTGTTTCCAACACATTATTCCAGACAGGAATCATAAGTTCAATATTTTACTTTTTAAATTGGTTGTGTTTAAGATTTATTATTAACACTGAATTCCTGTTTTATTTCTAGCCAAGCTCAGAGTTTATCAGCAAAACAAATTGAAAAAACAAAAGCACCAATAAAAAAACTGGTAAGGTATTATTAATTCAAAACGTTGACATTTATACATGAAACACATTTCTATGAACTAATTTAAGATGAAAAGAATTGAAAAGATGAGTTACTACAGAAACTTAATTTTTTTTATTTTTCCAAATAAAATTATGTTTCTTCTATAAAAGAAATTCAAAGCTATCTGACATTTAAAACTTACTAAGAAAGGCACTAAAAGTAATGACTTTTAATTATTTATATGGACACTACAACAGGGAGCACAATAAAACCATTGAATAAAGCCAATTTTAAGCTACAACACAATATCTTTCCCATATTTTACAGTAGCAATAATGTCAAAAAAATATTGTCTGTGTAATTCATCTTTCATTGGCTCTAATGTGGCTTGTTGCAAACATTGCAGTTACTACTGTTCAAAAACATTACCCACTACCTGTGTTCACATCCACTATTTGGTTTCCCTAAATGTTCAGCAAATGTCACTGAATCTCAAGGGGTGCAATTTGTTCAACACTGACAAACCTCTGCTTTGTATGCACTTGTCAGGCCATTTTGCCAGATTGCTGCTCAACTGCTATCTGTAACAAGGCAAAAAAAATTGTGTGTGATAGGTGGGAAAGTTCAACTTCTCCTGCCATATCACCAACATCTGTCTCTGGCGTTGTGGGCCAACATAATAAAATAGGTGGTATTACTTTTGGAGCAACACATGTAATTGTTTTATGTCTATGTAGAATGACCAAAGTTAGCTGTATTGCTGTTTATCTGTTGTTTGGTATGTATATTTATGTCATGATGCTGATGCTGCAGGATTGGATTTGGGACGAAAAAGAAATATAAGTTAATGTATTGTCACCTGATTTTAATTTTAGAAAATGATACAAAATATTTGTTTTATTTAGCATATATAAATTAAAAATAAATTCTTAAAACATTCTTGTTCGCCTAACAGTGTTTTTAAAAATTTTTATATGATAAAATAAGATATTAAATATTATTTTGCATAATTGTACAGCATTTATTACATAATAAATGATAAAAACCAGTATGTACCTGCACTTACATGATGTGCCATGTCTGTTGATGCTTGCTTTTGCATAGAACTTCTATGTCCATTATAGAACTCATCTTCAGGCAAGGATTCTCTTTTTGAACCCATTAAATGGGGATTTCTGAATTTATCTTGATCTTCTGGCCAAGGGCTTGCATGATAAGAAGGACAACTTAAATGCCTTTGTTTACTTGCACATCTATGAGGGTGATTCATCTCCTCTTCCTGTGACAGACTTCTTTGGTTGCAATATCTTAGAATACATATAGACATAAAAGCTGTAATAATCACAGATACTGTGACAGATATTAGTGTGATAATTATCACTAAATTAAGATGTATCTTCTCATCGTTTTTTATATGCACAACATTCAGCCTCTCAGATGTCTTATTGCTTACTGTGAGAGTAAGAAACATTGTTGTTTTGGCTGACAGAACTGGAGTTCCACTATCTTTGACAACAAACTCCAGGTCATATGAACCTGCATCTTGTTGATTAACAACACGTGTGAATGACAACAAACCAGTATAATGATTAATAGTAAACAATTGTTTTTCATTACCTGCAGTTATTTCATATTTGAGAAAAGCATTTTCTCGACTATCACGATCAGAAGCTTTTAAAACAGTGATATTTTTGGTATGATATGGATAGTACACAAGGTCTAAGGTAAAAGGATTAACACTTGGATATGTAAAATATGGGGAATTATCATTTTCATCTTGAACTTCAACAATGACATTTACAGTGTTATTTAAAGATTGTATTCCATTGTCTTTTGCAAATACTTGGAATTCATACATTTCATGTAATTCATGGTCCAATGAACTAATTGTTGAAATTAATCCATCATCAGCAATTTTGAATGGTAGAAAATGTTTGTTTTTAGTCCATAGAGAATATGTAAGTTTTCCTCCAGGTCCTAAGTCTGGATCAGTAGCATTAATGAAACCCACACGAATTTTTGATTTCTGATTTTCCTGTATCCTAAATTTATATGTATCCTTGGAAAATTGTGGTCTTACATCATTGACATCCATAACATGAATAGAAAATTTTCTTTCACTATTCATTGGAGGGGACCCTTTATCCTGACAGCTGATTGTGACATCATGGTGGTCCTCAGATTCTCTATCTACAGGGCTATTTAAAATGACTTTGTATTTTCTTACACCCTGACTCTGAAGTTGAAATTTATCATGGTGAAGATCACAGCTAACCTCTCCATTTTGTCCAGTATCATGATCAGTAACCTTCACAAAGGCAATAAAACTGCCAACTTCAATATTCTCAGAAATATTTGTAGCATTTCTTGTTGAGGCAAAAACAAAATTGATGTCAATATTTGGTGGATTATTCTGTTGATTTATCACATTCACTAAAATCTTTGCTGTGGAACTTAAGGGAGGTGTACCTCTATCTGTTGCTTCAACATACAGTTTATGTACTAATTCTTGTCCTAATGTAAACTTTTTATGCAAGAAAATTTCTCCTGTTTCTTCATTCAGTTCAAAATGTGATTTAGTAGTATCAGATGTTTTTGTGCTTAAGTGATATGAAACCCATCCATTTTCTCCTGAATCTAAGTCATTTGCAGACAAAATAAGTATTGGTATAGATCCTAGTTCATTATTTATTGATACATTGTAGACATTTTGAGTAAAGACAGGTGGATTATCATTTACATCAGTAATTGCAATATGGACATCTAAAATACTTTGTTTTGGAGGAGATCCTCCATCTTTTGCTATTACTTGAATTATATAAGTATCTTTAGATTCTCTGTCTAACTTATCTTCCAGGATGATATCAAGTTTTGAGGTTCCATCAACACTTTTGGAAACTAAAAGTTTAAAAGGTTCATCTTTATTCTTTTTCAGTTGATATGTAATTTGAGAATTAATTACTCCAATGTCTCTGTCTATTGCATTTGGTATTGATCGTTTGGTCCCCATGACCATATCTTCAGAAAATTGTATGTTAACTTGTTTTTCCAAAAATTCTGGTTGATGGTCATTGACATCTTGTATTACCACTTTGATTTCTAATAACTTGATGAAAGATGTCCCTTTTTGAATTGCTATATCCATCATTTGGTAACATTCTTTTTCTCTTTTACACATGGTTTCAGCATCCAATATCTGTGTAGTGTATAATTTTCCTCTGTTTTTTGATATACGGAATAACTGAGAACTCATTGTTCCTTGCTGTAATTGACTAAAGGTGATTAAATTATGATTTTTTGGTGGCACACTCTCTATCAAATGTGTATCAGCAGCAATATCACCTAGGTAGGTTCCTGGGCTTTTTCCTTCCTTTACATAGTAAGTTAGATCCACACACAGACACCTATGCAGGACAAATATTAATAAATATTTGGTTATTTGCATTTTTTTCTTTTGACCTGTTAAAGAGAACAAATTTTGAAATGTGTATAAAAATTAGAAATCAATATCCTTTTAATCAAACATGTTAGACACATAAGTATATAAAATACACTAATATTTCTATTTAGATGTTCTTGTTCCTATTCAGATTTTTAAAAAATAAATTGTATTAGTTATTTCAAAGTCAATTGTTTCTATCAATTTTGAGACTATTTTGATTTCACTGACATTTTCAGTTCTGCTGTAAGATCTATAAATGTTTTAATGTCATGCAAAATTTGTATTTAATTTTTAAAGCATAACTAAGCTTATCAAAATTTCCAACCAGGACAGTTTTTAATTTTTGTATAATAAAGCATTTTCTTGACCCAATACTCCTTAAGTTTCAGGGCTAACAAAAAAAAAAATGAATATTGATAACTTATAACTCCTTCTAGGACACTGGGATAGATCCCTCAAAATATGGTATATAGTAAACCCAATAATAATTAATTTTGCTTTTAGATTTTTATTATAGATTTAAATTGTTAATGCTTAAAGGAATTTCTCTTATTATTACTAAGATATCTATAATAAATAACCATATTACTGATATTTGGAAGAAAGATTTCCAATTTTGCTCTTCAACTTACTCACAAATTAAATTAACTTCAATAAATCTGGTGATTACTTTAAAAGCAATTGCCCTTAACTATTCATAACCAGTGTAGTTCCATCTGTTAAATGTTAATTTAAAAATAAAAACATAATGCAAACTTTTATTTATATTAAAATCTCTCACAGTTATCTTAAACAAGATTATAACTGAAATTTTTGTAATATTCAAGTACAGATCAAAAGCAAATTTTCTTTCAGCTTTGAACATTAGTCATTAATTGATTAAACTGTTTTTTCCCCTATAAGATAGGATGAAATAAGAATTTAATAATTTTATTATCTGTTTAAAGATTAGTAATTTAAAGTCATGAGGATAGTCACTGCAATTTATTCAATAAAATGTAACAATTGTAAAATATCCATCAAACCTCATAAGAACATTTAAATTTCCTTTTTTTCATCAGTTTTGAAACAGTTATTTTTAGATGGCATGTTTATTGTCAATTTTGTAAGTGTAAGTGTCAAAAGTAAGTGAATTTAAAATATCTTTTAAACCTGACTGCTAACAAAATCTTTTACAATCACAACACAATAATCTACTGTAATAATTTTAGATTAAAATGGAATGAAAAGTAAATCTTTTCCACTATATGATGTAAATGAAATTAAAGAAAAATGTATATGTTGGTTTTGTTTTTAAAAATCAATTTCAAATCTTAATTCTGTGAGTGAAGGCTAGAAATAATTTTTAAAAATATTTTTATTATGTCATTTGAAATAGAATCTTAAGCATGAATTTTAAATCAATTAAGTGTTATCTGACTGATATTTTTAAAAATTATTCTACTTGTATTTCCTTAGAGTTTTATGTATAAGAGAACTGCTGTGTGCAAATGAAAATATTTTTTCACAAATGCATGTACTTGGTCAAATATATACATAAATAACAATCTTTTAAAGTGCATTTAATATTATATGAGGTTTCAATACTAATTTCTTGCTCATGAAACAAACAAATCCTCATTAAAAAAATAAAATGAAACAATATAGTTGACAGTCCATAATAGTTGATATCTGCTTTGATATTTGTCCAAATTCAAGTGAACTGTTCAACAGCTATCTAGATGTGTTTCTCTTTGAGTATTGTAAGTGTTCCTTGAAGTTGGTGTACCTCAATTGAATGCTAATTGTTGGAATTCTACAAGAGCCATATGGTAAGATAGCTTTTACCTGGCAGGCATATTTCTACTTTGTGGGTGGATAGATGCACAAGCAAGTTAAATTGACTTAGTCTTTGAATATAGTTTCACTATAACTGCATCTGTCTTCCTAGCTTGTGTCTAAATAGGATGAACTTGAATTATATTATAGTGGAATCTCTTAACAGACATAGGCCATGATAAGCAATTAAAAATGAATTTTTTGCTTTAGTTGGTCAGAATAATAACTCTTACTAATACTAAAATAACCATTTTTATTCTATTCCTCCTAACTTGAAATGTCTAGTAAGTTGATAGATAACTATTTCCATGTGGTTTATATATTTTCCCCTTAGGGCTAAAGAAGGATTTTGAGTATGCATTTTTCCCTATAAATAAGAAAGTAATAGGTGAGAACAGAGTTGATATATTGAAGAAATAAAATATACAAAAATTTGTTAGTCATAAAATGAAAATTTTGCTTAGATCATGAAACCTTAACAGCAATCCAGAAAGAAGTACTCAGAGCTAGATGACATTGAAAGAACTATAAAAATATAAATTTTAAAATCTCTAATGACTATTCTAAAATTTTAAACTTTTGGTATTGACTCACTTTCACCAGACAGTTGAAATTAGAAATAATATAGCTTAAATAACCTTTATCTCTTAAGAAATTCTAGATCAATATATTTGCACGAGAACATTAAATTGTATGTATAATGTTAAAAATCCCATAACATTGGATTCTATTGATTTGTGCTCTAAATATTTAACTTGCTTGGTTCTGGTGATTGTAAGATTTATATATGACTATATCCAACAAATACTTTTAGAGGTGATAGAATGATATTCTTATATGATATTACGAAGAAATTGTTTCTTTTAATAATAGTTTTGCAGTAATGTTTGCTACATTGAGGTTGTCAAAATATTGATTTTGTGATTCTAAGTGTATCTGCATGTCAGGACACAATAGTCTCTATTTATTTATCTGTCTATATCAGTCTGAATATTTCATTGTGAATGAATATTTGATAGAAATTGTGTTTGCAAAAGAATACCAGGATTAGAAATATGAAAACATATCTTTCAATACATTCATTTATATAATGCAAGAATATTTTTAGACTGTATTTTTTGGATAAAATGTCTGTATGTCTGCAATTTGCAAGGTTATAAAATCCTATTATTTTGGAGGCTTTTTTTTTATAAATTATTAAATGATTCAAAATTTAATTAAACTGCTTCATTCTCATTATAATCAGAAATTTGTTTCTATGAAAAAAAAACTTTTTTGCATCATTTCTATTAAACAGTAAATAAATAAAAGTAAAACCATTTTAGCAGTTAAAATAAGTTAATATCCTATCCTTTCTAATATGAATTGTAAACAAGTAATACATATACTGTTTACAAAGAAGGATTATTTCCTTTTTGTATGTATATGTGTGTTTTCCAGATATTGTATGCTTCTCACTTGCTTTAATGTAAGTTTTCCATGGTTACTTCAGCAGACACCAGACTTGAACTTAGGCAGTGCAAATCATGCCAAAAGTATTAATGGAAAAAGGAGATAGCAGGGGAAGAGAGCATTCATCTCTGTCATTGTGTAAAAAGAAAAAAAAACATGAACAGGAACATGATGGAAGTGAACTGCCATGCTTCAAAATAAATTCTGTTAAGAGTGGCTATGAATAACTCAGGTAACAAACAGTGTTCTATCATAACTACATATTTTATGGACCTAAGCACTCAATGATTTGTGACATAGGAACAGACTGAGAAGATTTTATCTAATCTAGAGGAATTCTGTAGATCTCTTCAACAGTAAAAGAGGAGAGACATGAAAAATGAGTATTCCTTGAACTTTGTAAGTATATAACAATCTAAAATTTATTGTTGACATCTGAAAAGATTCACTCAAAATTTCTGCCAATTCTATTTTGAATAACAGATATATAGAATTTAAGCAAGCAAAGAAAGACAGCTTGAAGATTGACAAGAATGTCATTTTGAAAAAAAAAATGTTTGCAAATTTCAGAAACTATGTTAACCTGGAAGAAAGCCTTATTCATGATCACATGGTGCTGTGGATCAGTGACAATATATGTAGGAAGTGTCTCCCACAGGAAGGGAAATTATCAATGGCTGTCTGCAACCTCATCTTTAATTCATATGAGAAGACAAACTTGCAGCTCAAAAAGATAACAGGAGAGGAAGAACCTGTCCACAGAATAAGTGTGACACAAAAGAAGCTTTTAAATGAAGAGAAAAGAGGGCAAAAAATGAGTGGATGTGTATGCTGTTTCTTTGTCAGATAACCGCAGTGTAAGGAAGATTATTCTGCATTGACTCAGTGATGCAAGCAATGTGGCAGCCATTTTGCTATTATGTGCTAGAAGCAGAGTGTCAATTTTGTAGCAAGAGACAGTGACTACAAAGAAATAAATGCTATGGAGTTGCATTAATTCTATAAATTTATGGGAAAATGTTGGTGAATAGCAAGCCAATTCCTTTTCAGAGAGACAGTTGGATAACAATCAACCTTTTCCTAGTTAGATAAGTAAATGCCAGACTTTGATTGTGATGAAAAAAAATCCTCTTAATGTGAAATAAAATCACAACAAGATCTTGAGGACAGCACTAAGTTCTAATGATAAATCCTGCAAAGAAATGCTTTGTGTCATACAGTCATTGATCAGAATACTTAATGCCGGAGTCAGCATGACAATGAGCTTAATAACAATTGAGTGAAAGAATTTCCTTCAGGTAGTGTCAGTATCTGAAGACCCCATTACATGCTATTGAAGATCTGAACATAATGCCTAGAGAACAACTCCATATTGTTCCTGCTTGGAATATTCTCTTGGTTGCCATCAAATATATTTAAATTAGAACCTGTGTCACAATATAGCAATATTAGTTTCCATACATACAGTGCTTAAATCTTAAATACAGATGTTCATAAAAAAGTAGTTTGTGGTCAGATGAGTAAAAGAAGTCACTTCTAAGTTCTTCCAGTGGTTGCATGTATATAATCAAATTGATTGCTTCAGATAGTTTAAAGAATAACTTGTTCCAAATCTGTAGGCACAATATCAATTTCCATTAACTTTGATATTCATTTCTTAGAGTATAATATATCCATACTGTATAGCTTATTAAAATGCTTTAACTTAAATATAATCATATTTTTGGTACATGTGTCTATACAGAATTTTTATCATGAACAAGCACTACTTCATATTTATAATTAACATCATTTATCTGTAATCAAAAAACAAATATATTTGTTTTATTTATTAGTAACATGACAAATTTCTAGAAATATGTAGCTTACTAATAAAGTATATGATGAGTGCTGAAAAATTCTCAGCTGGATTCACTTCCCATAATCTGAGCAAATGACCAAACATCAGAAGTTTTTTTTTTTTAAGAGCTTCTTGGTCAGGCTTAGAAATTTTAAGTACCTCCTCTTTTAAATTAAAAAGCCTATAGCTCTCACCTGTCTCTACTATGAATAATAGTTAAAATGATTCAGATTATATCTACCAGTGTGTGCATACATTTTTCTGCAGCATATATATATATATATATATATATATATATATATATAACAGTAATAAATTAGTTTGACTGCAATATAAAGTTGTGAATACAAAATCATGATTTAGGCAGCCTCTGTTTATAGGAAGTAACTGCAGTCTTGTTTATACAATACTAATACTCTAACAAACAATAAAATATACATCCCTTGTTCAAAAAGAAAATAATGTTTGTATGTGTTAAACTAAAGAAAAATCTTAGATTTATGTATATTTTGTTTTAACCATTAACTATAGAAGGGCAAATAAAAATGTAACTATTCTTTACCAAATTTTTCAGATATGAAGAGCTTCTTATCAAACTTAGACATATTTGTTACCTGAAAATTGCTACAATTGTATTCAATTGATGTAAAGCAGTTCTGTTTACATAAGATAATAAGTATTTTTCAAGTTGTATATCTCTACCTTCTCATGATGTTATATATTTTGAAGAATGAATTAGCTACCAGTTTGACAGTTAGCTATGGACTGTCACCATGTAATTTCTTGTAGATTAATTTTATATCATAATTCTTAATTATCACAATTGCTTTTCTTATAGTCTACTTTCCCAAGGCTCATTCAATTTCATTTTGTTTATTTGGTTAATTCAATTTTTCTTTAATTGTTTTTTATTTGAAATTTATTGAACATCTCTTTTTAAAATATTTCTTCATCTTATAAGTTAAAAAATTGCAATTTTTTTCGTTTACATAAAAAAATCAACATACTTTTTCGACAAAATATTTAAAAATTTCTCTACAAATATTTTCTTTCTAATTTCTACCAAATTTTATAAGTGTTTTTGTTCATTCTGTTTTAAAGTATTGGCTAGGTGATAACAACAACAAAGATGAGGACAATAGTCCTCATATAAATAATTAGAACTCCATATCCCAGAAGTTTAGACAGAAATTAAAAAAGGTTTGAATGAATATATTTATTGTATATATATATATATATATATATATAGAATACTGCCTAATTTTCAATAATACTATTTGTGTGTATCAAAACATCAATTACTACTACTGATACAAATTTAATAAATATATTCACAAAAACATTTATTCAATCATAGATCTTAACTATTGATTGATCCAGTCAATGTTTAAAAACACAATAAAATAAAAATCTTCATGCAAAATTTGGATATTAATGATTATTTGAAATCTATATGATATTAAGTTTTAATATTATCACCTCTTTTGTAATTTATTAATAAGGAATTATATTTAATTATAACAAGATTATGAACTTCTATCTCAAATAGCTTTTGTTAATAAAAAAAGATTATAAGAAAAATAATCTCATTTGATAAACTAAACATGTATAAATCATTTAAATAAATTTGATTAACTTATTATTTATAGTATCAATATAATCATATTGGTAAGTATTGATATTCATGAATACAAACACATATTTATTAGTTCATGGGAAATATTATTTTTAGTTATTATTCAGTTTAAATATAATCTCACTTGCCATTAATATCTTAATCTTCTTGTTCATGAGAGAATTTACAGAAAAACATTCTAACTTAAGCTGAAGGCTCTATAGGAAATACATGTGCAGTTATGAAAATCTAAAACGGGCAAGATGAGAAAATTAGCTAACTCAACCTTTCCATTTTGAAAATATTGATTTTAAATAAGTTAAAAATATAATATTGAGAATTGAGCTATATTCATCTTCTGACTAATGCTATTTCTGATAAAAACACCTTCATGCTTGTCAGATGCTTAATTATTACATATAAAATAAACTGTAATTTACTATCCAGTATATGTATTAGCCATATATAAACATTTTGTTCTTTTCTTAGGATGACAGCGTCAATCAATCAGCATGAACATTCAAAGTTGTAACTATAAATATTACAAGAAAAGTATGTAATCTAAATACTCTGCTTGCAGTGGTATAGTACCTACAATTTTATTAGGTTTACAAATATCCCCATTTGTTTTATAATCAATTTCAAATATAATTCATGATTAAGTCACATGAAATTTTCTACAGCATATATAATTTGCAATTAAACACACTTTCAACTAAATACATATTTAAATAGTGTTTAAAAACTTTTACATATAACATGATAACATGTAAGTACATTTAAAAAAAAAACTACTTGTACAAAACAAAGACAAGAAAAACTGAAAACAATAATAGTTGAAATCTCATAAAATACTGAAATACTTGATGCTCAATTATGAAAGATTAAAAACAGATAAAAAATAATTACATTTTATTGGATTTTGTGATAAGATTTGTTGTTAACCAAAAAAGAAAATGATAAATCTGGAAATATTTTTTGTTTGTGAAGATCAATAAACTCAATATTGGAAGGCAACAAAAATAGTAGTGATCATTCTTATTTTTAATAGGAAAATAGGAAACAAAAAATTGTAAAATTTAAAAACTTGTTACTTTTTCTTTTGGAAAGTTAAACATATCATATACTGAAGTTAAAGAAATTCATTTTCCAAGCTCAAAAACATTTATAAAACAAGTAATGTGACAATGAAAAATAATTTTTTTCAAGTTATTTTGGTATTTTAAATTTAAATAAACATTTTTTTTTTTTTTTACTCATTTATTTTGTGTTGAAATTTACTTGTGGTTTTTTTTTTTTTGTGATGAAATATCTAAAAAAAAATCAGTGTTAGTATCTTATTGATAGCATATCCAAATATATCAATATACATGTAGCTTTATAGTTCCTTTACAGACATATTGGAGAACTAACACTTTATCTGCAGATCAACATTGAATATTAGAAAAATGATTGAGTTTTAGGTAGTTTATTCTATTATTGGATTATGTCATAACTGATAAATATATGTTATTTAGAGAAAATGTTAAATATAAAACTGATAATCAACAAGTGTATTGATATATTTGTTTCTCAGGAATATTGGTTCTAAGAATATCTTCTTTTAAAAATGTTAATATCTATAGTAATGTGCCTCATTTAGACTATTTGTGCTTAAAGACAAATTGAGGAGACACAAAAACAGTTATAGCAACTCACCTGTGGTGTTAAATCCAGTGGAGTCTGTGGTGGGTCTGTGGCTTGATGATATGAACGTCCTTGTAAAGAGTTCTGTTGTTACTACTGCTACTGAGTGACAACAACTATAGGTATGTGTGTGTGTGAGATAGCAGTATGTAGTCCTACTAAGTGTGTTGTGTGTGAGATGGCTGTTCCAGTCAATGCTGGACTGATTGAATGAAGACAGGATCACTATCCTTACCTAATATGTATCAGACACCTATATGAGTATGTTATATATATATATATATGAATGAATATAGCTCATGCATATAAAATAAAGGCCTGTATAATGAAATAAATCCCAGTTCAGACCCTTTCAACTCATTATGTAATATATAGATGTAGCTACTCTTCTATCAAGGTCTACATCTCTCTTTTCATCCATGCTTGGTCATATTTATATCACATGCTCAACTTGTACACTGTTAAAGTATAATATTGGTCATGTTTTATCCGTTACTTTACATGCATGTATGTGCAGTGGCTGTGTATTTGAGAATGGGGATGTGCATATACATGTGTAATTATGTTTGTCTGTTTGAATACATGTCTTTATACATGTTTGCATACGTAATATGTTTTAGGTGTTTATTTGTGTGCATATGTTTGTTATATATATATATATATATAGTTTGAATATGTGTACATATGTTTCACATGTCAGTTTATAGATGGAGTTTATATATAGTTTTGCACAAACATAAATTCCTGTTAATATCTGTATATAATTGTACACAGTCAAAACTATTTTTACTCTGAAGTAATGTTTTGTATTTGAGTGTTACATTTTGAACTTTGTAGATGAGTACATCACTGCATTGTTATAAATTATTGCTTTCTTCTGTAACTTAATTTCTGTTTAGTCTTGAAGGATATTAATTAACTTTTGGAAAATATTTTATGAAATTAATTTTTCAAAAGTAAATGACTTAATTACTTTTTAACAGTATTTCTTAATTATTTGGGTTGATAAATTATGGTCAAGTGTTAGACTATATTTCTAATGACATTTTACTGCTGTATACTCAATTTTGAGTACAACCACTGGTAGTATATATAAAATCTAGGTCAGTGGTAATCTTCTAGAAATCAATATCCTCTATGCTTTCTTGTCAATATACAATCTGAGTACCACTTCTGGAACATGGAAAATCTAGGTCAATGGTTATCTTGTCAAAGAATCAATATTATGTGTGAAAATCAATGCAGATTTTATGTCATTCTTATCCCTTTTTCTCCTTTTCTCCTCCTCCTCTGTTCTTTAAAGAATGGATTAATTTTTTTTGTTCTATATTTTTATAATGCATAAAAAAATTCAGTGCTTAAGCTCACATCATCAACAGTTGCTTTGTAGTTATATATTTATTCAATTTGACTTAAATTTGAAATCAAATGTTCTAGGTTTCCTTTTTATAGTATATGTTTTATTGGATTTTAGTGTATATTTATGTTAAAGTGTTCTCTTTTTTGGTGATGGAAAATTCAGGATATATAAGCAGATCTGAAAAATGTTTAAAAAATAGACAAATTGAAATCATTGAGAATGTTATTCTCAAAATATTTCAAATTTTAACTAAGAATTAAATTTCTGTATATAATACTTTCTAAAAATTTAGTTACCAGTACTTAAATCCAATTTCTCCCTTATCAAAAAGAAACTTCTAATTACTTTCAAACTGAACCTTATCTTACGTATATAATCTTGAGAATTTTTAAAATATGTGATATTTTTAATCTAAAATATTTATCTATACTTCTGAGATCAGATTTATAGCATCATTGAAAATCAAAGTATTTTTAAATTTATATTTTAATATTTCAGAACTTTACCTGGTAAGCAGTTGTATACTTTACATTTGTTAGTTTTAATTTTTTTTGGTCCAATATCATTTAAAACTTAAGTTTAAAAAACTACTTTGTGTTAAGTATTAAATAAAATATTTGAAGCACTAACATAAATGAAGTACTAATATAACTTTTAGCAATATTTTTATTTGTCAATGCCTTTGCCACATACCTGCCTTATGTGTACTGTCCAGAATATCCTTTAGTCCAGCCATTTTACTTTGTACATCTTCAGATGTCATAGCCCAGGATGATAAATTTCTCACTTCCAAATATTTCTTTTCTAGTAACAAGCAAGTAAAAAAATATATAAAATTATAATGTCTTGAAAAAGTATAATCTTAAGTGAATATACACATGAACATGTAAAATAAAAATATATGTACTGATTATTGTGAAACTTTTAAACCTTCAACAGAATTAAATGAAAATATTTCAGTACATTTTAATAGAATTAAAAAAAGATTAATTTTATAAGGAATAAATAATATAAATCAAGTAGCTCAGAAATTCATGATTTCCTGCTACTTGTACACATACTAAAATTTTAAGACTGCTTTACATATATTTTTTTGTATATTATATTTACAAAAATGCTGTATACAGTTTTAGATTTATTTCTTTAAATTGCAATTTATTAAATTTTTGTTAGATTTTTAACTTTTAACCTTGGTTCACATTATTATTAAAGGAATATATAATTTATTGAATAAGCTTTTATTAAAAATATCACTAATGTACTTTTACTTAGTAGTCTCAAAAGCAAGTATAAGGATTAAAGTTTGACTTACCTCATCCACATTGCCTGTAAATAGCCATTGCTTCAGTGTAAAATTGTAAGTGTCCAAAAGTGACGTGATTCTTCTGGTTTACTTTCACCCTTGCTGTGTCTTTCAAATCTTTTGTCAACAATTGGAATATCTTTGTTAATGTTTAGCGATTAAAATATCTCAGTTTGAGTTTGTTTCCCCATGAAGGCAAATATGATACAAAGTCAGGTTTAATATGGGGACCTATACTTTATTTTGCCTTTTTTAATTTTTACCCTTACCCATATGCATATGTGTTACCCAGTCTCACCTGGTTTTGCTTACATTATCTAATTAATACAATGGGGAGGTGCTGCCTGATAGATGACTTTCCAGAGCCCAGACCCACTTTATTTGTGCTGTATCTCATCTGAAGATGAAATACTGTCCAACAGTCATTTCAAATATTCCTGCTTATTACCTTTTAACTAAAAGCATTTACCAAATAAATGACATTTCTCTCAGAGAGATATTAACATGGAAACAAAAATAGCATCTACATTAACTTCATTCTTAAGTGATAATTTTGAATATATTAACAGGGGAATACAACTATTACCACCCAAATTATGTTTATATTTTGTCAAAATTATTTTTGCTAGCAAAAGTTGACAAACATGATCATATACTTCTATTACTTTCACAATATGGTTTTTATTCTTGCTCTTAAAAGACATCTGCTGAAAGTAACCAATATAAAGAAATTTATCTTAATATCTTAAAAAATCTTGTTTATAGATTTTTATGATGTTATTTTTCAATATATCTTGCAAGTGGAAGTTCAGAAAATGTGATGCTCTTCGCCTTTTGTCATATTCTGACTAAATGAATGGAAGCTGAGAAAATCTATGTTAACGCAAGACCAGTTATATTCAGTACATTCAAAGATAACAAGTGAAGCAAATAAACACAGCTGCAGAAATGAAGATACAATAGATTCTTGATGACAAAAGGAAGTTATATAAAATAAAGATAGCAAATAGTTGATAAATAAATAAAATAAATTGATTCAATTTTTAAAAAAATGTATAAACAAATAATGTAGATGCATAATAAAAAAAAATAACAGAGTTAATGTTAAAAATTGAAAAGACACTCCAAAAAACAAATCTCATAAACTTTATGGCTGAGTAAATTATAAACCAGAAACATTGACAAGAGCTAAAATTATTTAATTTCTGAAATGAACTAACAAGTTGTTCTGACTTACACAATTTTAAATGTTTATAATTAACCATAAAAAGAGAAAATAAATAACATCTTTTGGAAACACAATACTCTAATCTTTAAACCCAAATCATAATAAAACATTAACTTCATAAGTTAAAAATTTGTTTCAGAATTTAATCATTTGGTAAAATAATTATCAGTAATATTGTTTTAAATCACCAAGCAATAAGTGAAAGATCTCTACACACAAGCCACCAATCTGTCACTGTGTGACATTCCACTAGCATATACCACTTGTGGTCCGCTGTCAGACTGCTGACATGTTTGTTTTGGCAATGTTACCACTGGTGGACCTCTAGCAGTCCACCAGTGGCCTACACATGGCTGCCACTAGAGGAGCGGTGGCATTGCCATCGGTGGCCTGCCAGCGGGCCACTAGAGATTTACTTGTAGGGATTAAAGTAAAAGCAAAATTAGAATTAATGTGGATGTTCAATGATGTTTTTTTTTTTTTAAAGTTTGTTATTCTTCCAAACAAACTTTGCAATAGCAAGAAATTAATTGCTCTGAAAAATATATTTTAGAAAAATTAACTGCATCAAGAAGACATGTTGATTATAAGGATTAAGAATATATATTATTTAAGTAAAGAACTTTTTTCCATTTTATTGAATCCTAATGTTATAAAAATTGGATGGTCTTGTATAACAATTATTTGATATTAATAATAGTATGAATTGAAAAATATTATCTCTTGAGATGACAATCTTTTTCATTCAATTAATCCAAGATGATTAGAACTCTCACTATACACTCTCTTAAAATAAGTTGTTTATAATTGTCTAATTCTTTGCAAATGGTAATCATCTTCATTGGATTATTATCTCTTAAAGCAAAAGTTTTTATATCGACACTATTCAAATATTGAAGTATTGCTTCATGATCCATAATATTATTTGTTGGTATTTAATGAGTTTAAACTTTAAGTAATCTAAAAAATCGAGTAAAAAAAAAGTTGAAAAGTATACAATTCCTTATAATGAAGTTAAGTATTTTAGGTTATTGTTTATTAAATTATGTAAGTGAAATTTCCAGATCATTTATTCATGCCAATGTCTTATTCTATATGGAAAGAAAAACAAAATACCAACAAAATAGGAAAATCACATCTTAAAGAATTTAGAAGAAATTAATGCAATAAAATGATAAATGCATTAAATCTATAATTGAACAAGATCA